CATATGTAAGAGTTTTGGCAGCAGTCCCAACTGCTGAAGGTGCAATAGTTGCGCCTGATATTTTGGCCTCAAAACCAAAAGTAACTGAATCTGGTGCATCTGCTCTGTTTTCATCAAACATGTCTTTCAGACAAAGGTCTAACTCCTCCTCATCTGATGTTACTGACAAAGGTGATGTTGGTCTATTATCTGAATAATTTAGGTAATAATTACAGTGCTGACCAAATGTAATGAAAGGGGACAAAACCATGCCTTCAGTTAAGGCCACAGATTCTGGTGAGGAAGCCCTAAGACCAGTAAACCAATCTGTGAGCATCGGAAACTCCAGTTCTGAGGATAATGAGTCTGGGGACAATGCCGTGACGCTAAGCAACCTGTCCATTTCAATGTCTGACTCAACTGACTGTGGAGAATCTGGTCTGTAATCATCAACAAGAGATTCTAAATAAAAACCTGTGTCTTCCCAATCTGATAGGGAGGATTCTGGTGTTACTGACCTGCTGCCAGACACTGTCACAATGTAATCAGTATGCAAACAAATGAACTGAGGAACAGGTGTGTCAGGAGACAAGGGCCTAAGTTCTCCTTCAGAAGCCATTGTCTCAGGAGATAAAGGTCTTACATCACATCGCCAATCTTCCATCAAGGTAGAGCTACTGAAGTTTTCCAATTGCAAAGAAGACAAGGGTTCTTGTAATACAATTGAGCTCAAGCTACACAAAGGCTCTGTTGGTTTTTCACGAGTTATACCTCGCACCACATCAGCATATGTAAGAGTTTTGGCAGCAGTCCCAACTGTTGATGGAGTTAAACTTCCATATAAGATTGTGGCCTTAAAACCAGAAGGAAGTGAACCTGGTGAATCTGCTCTGTTTTCATCAAACATGTCTTTCAGACAAAAGTATAACTGCTCCTCATCTGATGTTACTGACAAAGGTGATGTTGGTCTATTATCTGAAAAATTTAGGTAATAATTACAGTGCTGACCAAATGTAATGAAAGTACACAAAACCATGCCTTCAGTTAAGGCCACAGATTCTGGTGAGGAAGCCCTAAGATCAGTAAACCAATCTGTGAGTAGCGGAAACTCCAATTCTGAGGATAATGAGTCTGGGGACAATGCCGTGACTCTAAGCAACCTGTCCATTTCAATGTCTGACACAACTGACTGTGGAGACTCTGGTCTGTAATCATCAACAAGAGATTCCAGATAAAAACCAGTGTCTTCCCAATCTAATAGGGAGGATTCTGGTGTTACTGACCTGCTGCCTGACACTGTCACACTGTAATCAATATGAGAACATATGAATTGAGAAACAGGTGAGTCGGGAGACAAGGGCCTAAGGTCTCCTTCAGAATCCAATGTCTCGGGACATAAAGATCTTACATCATATAGCCAGTCTTCCATCAAGGTAGAACTACTTATTTTTTCCAATTGCAAAGAAGTCAATGGTTCTTGCACAGCAATTGAGCTCAAGCTCGACAAAGGCTCAGTTGGCTTTTCACGAGTCATACCTCGCACCACATCAGCATATGTAAGAGTTTTGGCAGCAGTTCCAACTGTTGATGGAGTTATACTTGCACCTGAGATTTTGGCCTTAAAACCAGAAGCAAGTGAATGTGGTAAATATGCTCTGTTTTCATCAAACATATCTTTTAGACAAAGGTCTAACTCCTGCTCATCTGAAGTTACTGACAAAGGTGATGTTGGTCTATTATCTGAAAAAATCAGGTAATAATTACAGTGCTGACCAAATGTAATGAAAGTAGACAAAACCATGCCTTCATTTAAGGACACAGATTCTGGTGAGGAAGCCCTAAGATCAGTAAACCAATCTGTGA